TTTTTTTTTTTTTTTACAGACAAAGGCAAACATATTTAAACCGTAGAAATTTTTTCCAAAACGACTAAACAAATGACGTATAAAAACGATCCCACAGTCAAAAATACGACTGTCAGATCTTGTATGTGATTGAAATGAAGAGATACTACAAAGTATTTTCAAAGAGATCCGTGGACTGCTAATCTGATCCAGCAGCTTCTCTCTTGAGGTCTCCACGATGGATCCTTGATGCCGTGGGATCGGAACAGTGTTCACCTCCGACAAAGAAGAAATGTAGTCTTAGAAAATTTGTTGAAGCAATGGAAGTTGGGCGAAGAGTTGCTGAACAGTTCTGACAAAAGAAAAGAGTGACTAAGGCTGTGATTCACGGTTTGCTGACTTAAAACGTGTTGAAGGGAAAGTTGTAGCTCAGATCTGCATGGATCTGGGTGGAAAAACAAAAGTTTAAATAAGGCCACTCAGTAAATTGTTTGGTATGCAAATTGTTTTACAAAACGAATGTTAAAAAAGTTTCTGAAGCACAGGGTGACAGGCTTTAAAAACAAAGGGCAAAGGATGTTACCGTACTTGCCGCCGTACACGTCGCACCATCATATAAGTCTAAAAATGTCTAATAAAGTGGAAAAAAACATAAATAAGTCGCTTCACCATAGAAGTTGCATCTATTACGCATCACCGCTGACCACCTGGAAACGTGGGCCGGTGTTGTGCCAAAAATCAATTGGCTGCCAAATGACGGCCGCGGGAGCGTGCACGAGAGGACTTTAACAAGATTTTAACAAGATTAACACTTAAAAACAATTATTTGTTTACTCCACATTATAGCAAAGGTGTGTCTCAGTTGAACATTTCCTTAATAAATGCACTTTAACGGTCAAATCAGCTGCATTTCTCCTGGGCGGTGCAGTGAAATGCAGCTGATTTGACGTTTGCTCCAGGAGTTACGGAGCAAGACAAAGGTGGCTCTGTATGGCAAGCCGAGTGTCTTATTAATAGCCACTTTTACCTATTAATGAGACACTTAGCTTGCCATATTACTCGAGGGCCCTCTAGTGGCTGAAAATGGTAGTGTTCAACATTTTCCATGTCAGAATGAATGATATTGTCAGAGCTCAGCCAAAAATTGGGTTATAAATGTGGGGAAAACAAATGTATATTAGTCACTTCGGTGTATAAGTTGCAGGACTTGCAAAGTTATGCAAAAAGGTGCGACTTACTGTATATGGCAAAAAAATATGGTAAATTTGAACTGGAAAAATCTAATTTTGGTACTTTTATGAGAAACTAGCATCAATGCTGTCACTTTATTGATGAAGCAGTCATAATCTATTTATCTTTTTTTAATTGTTTAATAAGTTTAGTAAAATTGTTTACCAGCAATCGGATCATGTGCCACGGCTAAATCTCTTTTCTCGCATGAAAAATGTTTGCTTCCGTTTTTTCAGTGCTGGCTTCTATTACTAAAAATGTCTGTGTTCTTCCTCTTACTTTCACACCCAGTGCAGAAACAGTGCAATCTGGTCAACTTTCTACTTGATCTGAAGCAGCTGCTACTATTGAAGTAAAACGTTTGGAGGATTAAAAAAAAAAGGATTTTGGTTATTAGTGCATGGAAAGATTTTCCTCAACTGTGAATCAAAGCCTTTAAAACAAAAAAAGGGGTGTGTGGACACCTGTATGAGAAAGAAAAGAGTAATTTGGCTAACATTTTGGCAGATATAAAAAGGCCGTCTACTCATTTTCCCCCACACCTGACGGGATCACATTAAAATATCCATATTTAAATGTAATATTGTTAAACCTTTAACTGAGGCGACCTCACACATCACGAGCCAGTCGACTCATGAAAACAGAGAAATGGAGATAAACCGTATTGTGGAGAGGAGGATGTGATTATATAAATACACACTCAAATATCCGTCACATCCTCTGAAATCCTCAGGGCAAAAAGTGCTCTTCTGTTGGTTTTTGCTGGCAGATATGTCAAAAAAAGTACATTTTTTAAGTTTCTATTGCCCTAAGTTTATATGTAAAATGCAGGCTGCGCAGGAAGGACTCCCCCAGTGTTTCTGAGCCACCAACTCCAAATGCCTCAGCAGGTTTCTGTGCTGTTTTACAGTTTTTACAGTTTGTATTTTCTGGTCTTTTTCACTCCCTAAACAGGAGCAGAGACCTTCCACTGGCACACAGTAGAACAAAGTTGTTTTCATACCTCATCCATCCCTCCTTAGGAGACTGAGAGAGGTTTAAGTTACCCTGTGAGAGGAAAGGAGGAGGAGCTGGACCGATATCAGCAGGCCGACGACTGGGGCAGCGGCAACGCCCGTTCGTTCTTTCTGCCCCCGTTCATGTGCGCATACGGCTGCAGCTCGTCAAAGTTGGGCCGTAGAACCACCACAGGCCCGTTAGGCGACGCGTGTCCTGAGTGCTTGTCCGAGCCGTGTCCCGAAGACGTCCCAGCTGAGGCTACCGGGGACGACGGGGACACGGGACCTAGCAATGGAGTACTTGAGCCCTGCATGGGCGCTAACTGCTGGGCGGAAGGAGGCGAAGTGCCGCCCGAGCACCCAGACAAGTGAACAGCAGACGGCTGCCTCGTAGAAACAGAGTCCAGTGGAATGTTTTCCATGTTTTCGACCTCCATGTCGAGCTCCTCCGTGTCCGGTGGCTTGTTCTCCTCGCTGTAGAAGAAACTTACTTCCCTGAAGTGGGGGTCCATATCCTGTTTGATGCTGCTGATGATCTCCAGGAAGGACGGCCGCATCTTAGGGTTATACTGCCAGCACATCCTCATCAGCTCAAACCTGAAAGAGACACACGAACACATAAACCTCGTGTTCTTTCAAAACATCTCAGCCTGGAGACAGCAGGAACATTACAGGTGTTTTCAAAGTTCATGATCAATAATCCAGGTCAAAAATCCAACAAAGTTCAGTCAGGTCATCTGGACGGTTTCGTCCTTCATCCAAAGGACTTCATCAGTCATCAGTTTGTTGGATTTTCTACCTGGATATTGAGCATGACATTTGTTGTTTTGAACCACTCTGGCTATGGCTGCCTCAGAGGAGTCGACAAGGGAGAAGGCGGGCCCCAGAGACCATCAGTTCACCAGCAAACTGGTTGGTCCACTATATGAGTGTGCTGCTTGTGGGACTCAGTTTGTTGTGGCTCCTCGGACTGATGAAGTCCTTTGGATGAAAGATGAAATGTTGCAAAAAAAAAAAAAAAAAAAAGCAACCATCCAGATAACCTGAGTGAACTTTGTTGCCTTAAAGGTGTTTCAGCACCTTGGAAAGACCTGTTTACATTTTTAATTTTAGTTGGAAAACTTCCTGTTTCTTACCAGCAGATGGCGACATAAACCAGGGTTTATTCTAATTTTTGTTGACATAAACTCAGTTACCTTGGCGTTATCAACGTGAAGGTTAATTTTGTTCAAACAGTATTCTAAAATTGTAACATTAATTATTAAACTTACTTTAAAATACATAATTGTATATTACATTGCTAATAATACTGCTTTTGAGCAAGACACCTAATCCCTAATTGCTCCCTGGGTGCTTGCATAGATGTGGGTGATCTCAGGTGTGATGGGTTAAATGCAGAGAACTAATTTTGCCGTTTTATGGCAACATACAAAGATGACAATCTCAGACTTCCTTTAATGGGTGTGTATGTAAACAAAAACAATGAATCTTATACAAACCTGCCCCCTTTAAAATATATATATATATATATTTGCTCAGTTTGTAAGATGTGTCAGTGTGTATGTTTTATTGCCCTGATGTCAACTAGAAATATAAACCCAATAACAATGAAAGCACTGAATGAAGAGGAGTGGATGCTTTCTAAAGTGGTCGCAGAGATGTTTTGGTACACTGCTCTTAAATGTACAGACTGTTTTTATGGCAACTTTAAACGATTTGGAGTCTTTAAAGGGTTTGTACCGTGTTACGACTCATACGGTTAGATCAGTAATGTAGCACGTACTCAGCAGAGCAGTAAATCACACTCAGGTTCCTGTGCCAGACCAGCGACCGAGCTTTGGGAATGTCAAAACAACGCCATAAATGGGGAGAATTATTACATTTTTGTGTGGTGCGGCACAGCATGCCGCAACTTCAATTATACACAAACAAGCTAAGAATACTCTCTAATGCTCACTGACATAAACACCTCAGCCATCTCAGTTCTCCTACTGCTTTTCCCTCCGTCTTCCTTTCCCCTCCTCTCTCTCCCTCTCTCCTAGTGGTCTCTTGATCAGAAACCCTCCTGCAGCTCAGTGCCAGCTTTTCTCCACTCAGAGTACAACTACAACACAGAACATGACACAAAAGCATTTCAAATGTATTATTTTTTCTCCCCTCTAACATTCCAGGAAAGTTGTTCAGAGTTGACGCGCAGATGTCCAGAGCCACACAGCGCAGACGTTTAATGAATAAAAAATGTACCTTTGTGCGCTGACACGCCGCACGACAACCTTTCTGCAGCTCCCTTCTGTTGCTGTGCACGAGGCTCGTTGGTGGAAAAGCCTCGGTTGACACATTAACCTCAGTGTTAAACTTTTAATGAACGTGCCGTATCGTTTGTTGCTTAGTGCTTGTGTCTCTTTACCCGATTGCTCAGATCTGGTGCAACAAATTTGATTGCAACAGGCCATAAAATACAACTCCTCATACGTATGAGCAACAGCTAAAGGACCAAATTGTTGCCTTTCTCCTGCTCTCCAATTACTTTCCTCGTTCGGTTCCTTCCTCCCGCTGACCTCGTCGGCTTTGTTTAGCTGTGAGCCGGTGTCCGTTCGGGCTGGTTTTGAATTTCAGGTGCAGATCAAATAACGCCGTGTCAGTGATCGGCTGCGACCATTAAAGTGCTGAGTGTTACAAGTGGCAGCGGGTGGCTTTAAAGCAGCGTGTTTAAAACTGCCAAGTGAAGAAAGGGGCCAAAAACAATCGTAAAATTAGAAACAGGCACCGATTGAGGCCAAGTGTGAGAGCAGAAACATCTACGCTAAGCGCCTAATAAATTTAGCAGGACTTCTTGCAGTCTGCATGAAAAGCATTTTAACACAAGTATGTTGAAACCCGGAACATGGGAAACTAAACACAGAGCCGAGTATGGGCTGAAAGGAGGAGACATGTGAAGTGGTCTGAACTTTGTTTAGTCCATGTTCGCTTTGTGTGTGCATCCCTCGACAGTTTTTGATTGTTCGCTTTTGATTCATTAAAAGAAAACAAAAAAAAAACAAGACTGCTGGAAATCTACACTTAGTCACGACAGCGCAGGCGACTATTGGCACCTCGACTCCTCCGTAAGCCGAGTCCCCACTCCTCCTCCACCACCTCTGTAACACAATCCACACACTCCTGCAATCAGGACAACATCATCAGGCTGCCATAGAAACCAGAGGTTTGTGTCTGCACAACACTCGGCCCTATTTTTTTGTTCTGTTCGCGCTCTGTCTAAGGTGAGGTCAGCCATGTGGAGGGGGGGGGGGGGGGGGGAGCGCCGAATGCCTTTTTATTGAGGTCAGGGAATAAAAAGAGGAGTAGATGTATAGCTCTTCAAGTCGACAACCAGACATGTTTTAATAACGGATTACAAATAAATGACTTTAATGCTCAGATTGTTCTCGTGGACATCATCTCCCTCCCTTTTCATTCGTTCCCACAGGAGGAATGAGGGGCATTTTCACACACGGGTTGTGGCATCCTGTCTATGGGTCGCTGCCGACAAGTGATGAGGCTCCTCGCTGCCAGCTGACCGCCAGAGCCGTGCCGTCAGCTGACTCCATTTAACCAGTGACGTTAATGTCAGCTCTCAGCACAGCTCCAGTTCAGCATACAGTACACACCTGATATCCCTCACACGTAAAACTCAAAATAGACACATGGCAAATTAATAACGGAGAGAAAGCAGAGCTGCGCACAACACAACAATGCGCTCTTGCATGGCGGGTGCAGCGGGACTCACAGCATGTCTGGGCAGTTGTCGGGTTTGTCCAGGAGTCCTCCATCCATGACGAAGCGCAGCACTTGTTCGTTGGACATGCCCTGGTAAGGCTGTTCTGCTAAGGTGGCGATCTCCCACAACACGACACCAAACGACCTGCAGCGAGACATGAGAAGACAGCTCTTCAGCGCTCTGTGTGGGTTTAACTTGAGTGCAGCATGAGAGGAACATCAGGTCTTCTATGACTAATATTACAAATATCTGTTTTTCAACAGGTTGAAATGACCTGTTAGGTTTGCTCTGACCTTGTCTTATAGCATTTTAATAAATAACACAAATAAAGGACGAAATTGGAGCTAGGGGAAATGGGAAAATAACTTAATTTACAAAAAAAAAAAAAAAATCTGCAAAATAAACTGTTCATATCTGTAAATTTTACGTTTGTGTTCTTATGCAAAAAATATTTTAAAGAAGCGTCAATTCAGTCTAAATTTTTATTACCGTACAGAAGTCACTCGTTACTTCGTGGTTCGTTTATTGCGGACTCGCTCCATCGCGGTTTTTCAAAATGAGATTGGACACGACACACAATCAGCTCATTGATGGATGAGCCCCACGATCGGCATGGAATTATTATTGAAAATAAATTATTTGAAATTATTTAGCACCTGCTGCACTTTGTGCAGCCCTTACTGCAGGATAAACTTCCTGCTGCAGCTGATCAGCTGTTCACCGTTCAGCGCAGAGAAGTGGGCGTGGCCAAGAGCACTTGCAGATGGCAAAGAGCAGAGGAGGTAGAGCTGAAATCATGACATTCTGTGCTCTTTCAGAGCTTTAGAGTTTAGAAACATTGTTTAGAATATTGCAAGAGTGTGGAAAGGGTTTAAAAACACATTATTTATATATATAATAAAATAAATTATTACTTACTACTTGTACTACTACGTATATACAAAATAAATATAGTAATCTAGTATAAGTACATTTTTAAGTTTTTGTTTAAGTAAATGTTAGAAACAGCTCCTTTAAACAGAACAGCTTTAATTTCCTTGCATTTCTATATCTGAATACAATATATCTGAACTAATCAATATTAGAAATCTGATATTGAGCCAATACTTCCTAAATGATCTCTAAATAATATTAGAATAATTTGTGTATCCGTACTTAAAAAAAACCAATCATAACTTAAACCTATTTCTACTTTCATGGACCTTTTTCCCCCTTTTAAAGGGTCTGAAAACATTATTGTACAAGGAAACAGATTTATTATTGGTTCAAATAAATTTGTGTAATTGCAGGTTGCAAAAGAAACAAAATAGGTGTTTCTCTACAAGTCATATTGCCTCAATTTTCAACACAAACCATAAACTGTGTGAAACAAATCAGGCTTTGAGGAAATCATAATCTCATCATTTATATGAATAACAGTCAAATCTGTAGCAGAAAACAAGTTTTTAATAAACCTTAAAGCAAGTGCGCTAGTATTCATTTAGGACTACCAGGACAGATTCTATACGAGGCAATAAAAGTAGAAAATTAAATAATTTCAGGAAGTAAGAAAATAGACCAGATAGAACGGATATAAGTTTTGATCTGTACTCGGGAGTATTGCTTTTCTTACACTGAGGCCAGGTAAAATTATGCTAATATAAAATAATCTCAGGGAAGGAAAAAAGTGAATGAATTCTGAATAGTCGTGGTTATTCTTTTCAGCAGAAAACTGCTCACCAAGCACAGCAGCCCTGAAGCTTTCTAGTAATTCCCCCAACAGTTGCTGACTCCAGTTTTATTCTGTGTACTTTTATATTACTTTCTCCTTGTTCGCCGATAATAAAAACAAGTCAAAATGCATTTACTGTTGATATTGACATAAAAACAGCCAACGGAACTTTTTCACCATCATTTCTTGACATGTTGCAAGTAAACTAAAAATAAACTTGATTTCTTCTGTGTATTATGTCCTCCCTCCTGCATGCTCTACTCAGTCCACACTTGGGTAGTACTGTATTTTCAGTGGTGAGAACTTATTTTAGACAGAGCATCCATGTGAGATGCCCAAATGTAGAAAGCATCAACATGCAAACATGGGCATAATTTACTGTGCCAGAAAGCCGTTCATGTGTGAAACTGCAGGACTTTGGCCTATTTTAACCTTGGACTACCTGCCAATAATGACAGTGAAATAAAACTATTTTTGAAAGAACATCATGTTTAACGGGACACACTGACCACAACATTTACTTAGTCCTGTTAACTCTTTTTGACAGTTAACTACAAAATCTTTCTGATTTAAAAAAAATATCCACAAAAAGGTTGTTTCCTCCCAATCAGCACTGGAAGTCGCCCACTCATGAAGCTCAGAATGAGTTTGTCGGACAGTAAACATGAAGATCAAAGAGGAAGACGGAGTACACAAGATGTGAAGGTGGGTTTGTGCTGGCACTGCAGCCTCTCATTTGTGAACATCTGGAGCAGTTTAAACCCACTGTTAGGGACAAACCCATGGGACACTTGAAGTCAGGAACAAAAACTTGCAGGGGAGCTAAAAACAACCAGATTTTTTTTTTTAACAAGTAAAAAAAAGAAAAAGGCTGTAATATAGCAACATTGGAATTTAAAAAAATGCTGTTTTGTCATGAACAGAGGAATTTCCAAAAAGCCAGCCAAAAGGATTTTGATGTTTTGGAAATATCTGGAAATAGAACTGGTCAGGGTTACTAAAAATAGCTATGAAATGTGTGACGCCAGCAAGAGCCCGGATGTCAGGCAAACAGAACTTTGAGTACAATACAACACAGTGCTGTACGTGTGGGTTGCACAAATAAAACAGAAAAAAAAATGGTATCTATCATATTTTTCAGCGTATAAGTCACACTTTTTTGCATAATTTACATGCCCTGCAACTTACAAGCCGAAGCGACGCATTTATGGATCCCCCCCCCCCCCCCCCCATAATTTATAAATCAAGTTTTGGTTGAGATATGACCGTTTTCATTCATTCTGACTGAAAGAAAAAAAAGAGCAGCATCACTCTCAGCCACTAAATAGCAGCAGAGAAGTAGTAGCAGTATGGCATGCCGTTTTATCATGTAATAGGTAAATGTGGCTATAATGTCAAATTCAAAAATGTTCAAGACAAAAACAACTGGACTTTATTTATTATACTTTACTTTATACTTTATTGTATTTTTCTTGAACTTTTTTGAATTTACCATGTCCTGGATGACTGAGAATCTTCACCAACTATTAATGACTAAAAAATAAAAATAAAGTGCATTTATTAAGCAAACATTACACTGAGACACACCTTTGCTATAATTTTGAGCAAACAAATAATTGTTCAGACGTTTATCTTGTTAAATTTGTACAGTGACTTGTCGCATGCATGCGTTTACTTCCATGTACCGGCTTTTGAAATACAGTTGAATTGACCATCAAAGTGTATTTATTAAGTATATGTTAGACTGAGACACACATTTACTATAATTTTGAGCAAACAAAAAATTGTTTTTAAGTGTTAATCTTGTTAAACTCTTGTAAAAGTCCTCCCGTGCACGCTCCCGCGGCCGCCATTTGGCAGCCCATCGATTTTTGGCACAACACCGGCCCACGTTTCCGGGTTCGGCCCACATTTTCGGGTTGTCAGGGGTGACGCGTAACAAATACAACGCGTCAGCGGTGACGCATAATAGATGCGACATATACCACGAAGTAACATATTTCTGGATTTTTCCACTTTATTATACAAATATGGACTGAAGAGACTTATGGGGTGGAGCGACGTGTACGGCGGAAAATACGGTATGTAGCTTTGTTGCTACGGGACTTCAGTAGTGACGACCGATATGCTGACAAGCCTCATGTGCAAGTTATATGGTTCAAGCCATTTCCAAAGAGGATTACTCAAGGAAAGAAATGTGATCGTTGGATGAGATTCTGTGGCTGAGTTGATTTCAACCAAACAAACAATCCCATACCAGCGACTGCAGTCACTGAACATATGTCCGTTCATCCATTGTTGTATCCACTTTTTCCTTGCGTGTCAGAAACTAACAGGAATGTCTTTTTTTCAACTCGCCCATGCTGATTAGTCTTTTTAGGCACTTAATTCATCTCTCGTGTAGAATGTTTTCCATCCATCCATCCATCCATCCATTATCTTCTGCTTATTGTGAAGTAAAAGAACCGATTGCTAAGGCTAACAGCGGCTAACCAGCTGACAAAGTAAAATAAAGCAAGCGGCTGACAAAATTATTCATCCTGCCACTGAAAACCTACGCAATACTTGGTGTGCATCCAACACAAAATCTTCTATCATCCGTGCTCTTTTTCACAGAGGCAAAAAAGCACGAATCAGCACGTAAACACTGGGAACACCACCCATAATTCTTTATCAATTCGGCCCAGTTACTGGACACTTCTAATCCCCTGCATTGTAGCCAATGCTTGCGCTGTGTATTGCTGTATCCTCCAATGTACCGTATTTTCCGCCGTACATGTTGCACCACCCTATAAGTCACGTCAGTTCAAATATGTCCAATGAAGTGGAAAAATCCATAAATATGTTGCTTCGCTGTATACGTCGCATCTATTATGAGTTACCGCTGACAAGTCACGTGTCACTGCTGACAACCCGGAAATGTGGGCCGGCGTTGTGCCAAAAATCGATTGGCTGCCAAATGGTGGCCGCGGGAGCGTGCATGGGAGGACTTAAACATGAATTTAACAAGATTAACACTTAAAAACAATTATTTGTTTGCTCGAAATTTAGTACAGGTGTGTCTCAGTTTAACTTTTACTTAATAAATGCACTTTGACGGTCAAATCAGCTGCATTTTCAAAAGCTGACACGCGGAAACATGAACGCATAGAGGGCGACTCGCTGTTTTTTTCTTCAAAATTTAACAAGATAAGCACCTAAAACAATTATTTGTTTGCTCAAAATTATAGCAAAGGTGAGTCTCAGTTGAACTTTTACTTAATGAATGCACTTGGACGGTCAAATCAGCTTCATTTCGCTGGGGCGGTGCAGCAAAATGAAGCTGATTCAGTTGCTCAAAGCAGACAACGGTGGCATCTATGGCAAGCCAGTTGTGTCATTAATAACCACATTTACCTATTACACGATACAATGGCATGCCTTACTACTCAAGCGCTATCTAGCAGCTGAAAATGGTAGTGTTCAATATTTTCAGTCAGAATGAATGAAAACGGTCATATCTCAGCCAAAAATTGGTTTATAAATATGGGAAAATCCATAAATATGTCTCTTAGGCGTATAAGTCGCAGGGCATGCAAATTATGCAAAAAACAAAACAAAACTGTGACTTATACAGTGAAAAATACGGTATTCCAAGTTGATTTTGGCCTCGATGTTGTCTTTGTTTGAGCTCACACGAACAAAATCATTGGAGGTAGCCATTACGCATGCAGTCTGCTGCGTTGTTTGCCCGACACCCAGGACTTTGGGGATTCCCAACAATTCTTGTGACGTCATCCCTGATCAACCCAATTCATCCTCCCAAGTGTTGAGTGAAAATCTTGCAAAGAATAAAGGCTGAGAAGTGATCTGTAGATTTATAGTTATGACTCAACGGCATGAGATGTTTCAGAGGATCGTCACGCACAAAGATGAAATATGCATGCAGCTCAAAACCCCTTGGACTGAAGCAAGTTCATACATGTATAATGCAGGCTTGTTTGAGTGTGAGTAATGTCCTCTCATACCAGACATCAGACATTGTAGTGAAGACGCCATCTTTCAGGGACTCGGGAGACATCCAGCGAACAGGCAGCAGCCCCTTCCCTCCTTTCCGGTAGTAATCCGTCTCGTAAATATCTCTGGTCATGCCAAAATCTGAAGGAAAAATAACAACAGACCGGGAGAGCCAGTGAATATCACTCACTCTGTTGGAGACGAAGCTCCTGAGAGCTTGAGTATTCCCCTCACGTCCTCTCTCCTCCTGTCCATCTACATTACAGCCCGAGGCACTCTGAAACCCAAACGGTTCTTTTCATGGCCAGCAGAGCAGGTTTAGCATTGAGCAATCTTATCTGCAGCAGCACGTCAAAATGACCCACCTCCGATCTTCACAGTGAAGTCCTCCGTTACCATGCAGTTCCTGGCAGCCAGGTCTCTGTGGACAAACTTGTTGGCATTTAGGTAAGCCATACCGTCGGCGATTTCCCCTGCCATCTGGGTCATCTTCTTCAGTGGGGGAAGGACCTGAGTGTTGGAGTTCTGTGGGTACATCAAGAGAAGATAAATAAGATGGGAGGTAGTAAAGAGCATTCTTCACTTTTAACAAAAAAGCAAAACAATGCGGGTGATGGTTGATGAGTGAGACAAAAACAATCAACTGAAGTAAAAAAAATTAAAAAAGAGTATTTAAAACGCTCTTTTTAGCTTAAAAACAGGCGTTTTTGAAAAATGAGGTGAAAGAACAATGAAAATAAGCTGTGAATAATTTTTTATGAATTTCAAAACAAGTGTCTTCTTCTTCTTTTGGCTTTTCCCTCTTCAGGGGTCTCCACAGCGAGTCATCCTCCTCCATCTCACTCTGTCCTCTGCATCCTCTGTCCTCACTCCAACTACCTCCATGTCCTCTCTAACTGCATCCATATATCTCCTCTTTGTCTTTTTCCTGGCAGCTGCATTTCTAACATTCTTCTACCAATATAGCCACTGTCCCTCCTCTGGACATGTCCAAACCATCTCAGTCTGACCTCTCTAACTTTATCTCCCAGTTGTTCAACCTGTGACCTCTGATGATCTCATTCCTAATCTTAACCAGCCTTGTCACTCCTAAGGAGAACCTCAACATCTTCATTTCTGCCACTTCCAGTTCTTTCTCTTGTCTTTTTGTCCATGTCTCTGTCTCCAGACCATACAACATAGCTGGTCTCACTACTGTCTTGTAAACTTTTCCTTTGACCTTTGCTGACACCCTTTTTGTTGCAAATCACTCCTGAAACTTTTCTCCATCCACTCCATTCTACCTGGACTCTCTTCTTCACCTCTTTACCACACTCCACATTTTCCTGGATAGTGGACCGACCCAAAGTACTTGAAGTCCTGCACCTTTGTGACCTCTGCTCCTTGTAGCCTCACTGTTCCACCGGCCTCTCTCTCATTCACACACATGTACTCTGTCTTACTATGGCTGACTTTCATTCCTCTTCTTTCAAGTGCATACCTCCACCTCTCCAAGTTCTCTTCCATCTTTTCCCTGTTCTCACCACAGATCACAATGTCATCTGCAAACATCGTAGTCCCCAAGGATTCCTGCCTGACCTCATCTCTTAGTCAGTGCATCACCAGAGCAAACAAGAAGGGGCTCAGAACTGATCCTTGATGCACTCCCACCTCCACCTTGAAGCTATCTGTCACTCCTACAGCACATCTCACCACTGTCCTGCTGTCCTCATACATGTCCTGCACCAGTCTAACATACTTCACTGCCACTCCAGATTTCCTCATGCAATACTACACCTCCTCCTTCTCACCGTCATATGTTTTTTCTAAGTACCCACAGACAAAATGTCTAATTTTCCAAAATGAAATGAAATAAAGCTAGCATAACTTGAAGGAATGCACATCATTCGTTGTCCATGACGATCTTGTGTAATTTGTTAGCTCTCAGAGAACGTGGTGAGGATGACTCTCAGCTACAACCGAATCAAAGCTTCTCTGTAAAACTGCCTCAAATAAAACTGTGTTTTGTGTTTGTAAGGTTTTTTAGTTGTGGCAGACAAACTTAATCATGTTGACTCCAAACTTAATCACTTGTAGAGCCAATGATTACTTTCTGAGGGTTTCAATAAGATCATAGACAGTTCATGAATCATTTTTGCTAACGAACACAAAGAAACCCACACACAGATAATTACATTATCACTCACCTTTCGTTGCAGTGGGCAATAAAAACTGGGAGTCTTTTGTGGCATTTCCAAATTAATTTTAAGCTTTTAAGATTTGTGTTTCATTTCTTCTCATCATTTTTACTTTAAACGCAGCGACTTTCTGAAAACAGTGCTGAATTGTTTGTGTGGTTGTTCGAAGAACCTGCTTACCTCATTACGCAGAGAGCGCAGGTGGCTCTTGAGATCTCCACGGGTCATCAGCTCCATGATCACCAAGGTTGGTTGTCCCTGAGAGACCACACCCAGCAGCCGCACCTGCATAAACAACCAAACGGCTCATGTCCGCTGCAAAAAACTCAGGTAAACTCCACAATGTCTTCTTTGCAAATAGGGACATGCAAACATGCACCATCCCAAATGTCTAATATTATATGCATCTTACTGTATTATAATAAAACACAGTGTTTATTTTAATTAGACACTACGATCAAATTAAATAGCAATTTCACCTACGAATCACACTAGGCAAAAAATAATTAAACTGCACTTAAATTATCCATCCTACATTAGTATTAGAAAAACACTTAGCTTTAACCTGCTTTGAAGAGAGTAAAAAAAATCTGTCTTTTAAATTATTAAAAGTGACTTCAATAATTGAGCATTTGGCTCCTTTAGGAACTTTCTAAAAGGAAATCTTTACCACATCCTTTTACTGAAGTTAATGAGGCTGTGATTACATTGATGTGAGAATGTACAGAAACTCCAGGAGGCTTTGCTCTGCCTCGGGCTCAAACCGCCTGCGTTTAGCCAACCGCAGTGATCTAAATGCTTGAAATTCTCACTGGCTGCTCCGCTTGTGCACACGCAGGTTCATTCAGAACAACATTTGTGGTTATTGTCTCGTCCCTCACTTCATTATTAAGGTATTTGTTATGCAGTTTTTTTAACTCACCACGTGGTGACAGTTGAACTCCTTCATGACAGACGCCTCGTTCAAAAACTCTATCCGCTCCCTCATGCTGGCTGACTCGTTGACGGTCTTGATAGCCACCCGTGTCTCGAGTTCGTCCTTGACGACGCCTTTAACGATGCCTTCGTACACCATGCCGAAGGAGCCCTGACCCAGCTCCTTGTGCATCGTGATCTTTTCTCTGGCCACCTCCCACTCATCCGGAGTATACACTAGTGCAGCAAAGGAGACAACAAGATTCAACACAACATGCACGAACACCAAAACAGAGCAGCGGAGATATTTATCGCTCGTACTTTCAGCAGCACTGATGTACTCTGGGTTGACAGATGCATAAAGAACTCCATTCCCGAGTCTGTTGTTGTTCCTGTAAACACAAATCCAGCTCGGTGAGCTGATGAGCAGCTCTGGTTTTGGATGCAATATTCAGTTCTCAATGGGATGTGTACTCTTCCCCAAAGAGCTACGATAATGAAAACACCTATTAACTCTAAATAACATTACACTCATCATTAAGCTTCATGAGGACGGCAACCTAATGGAGTCAGTGGAAGCTGCGCTCACAGGAACACTTGCCTCTTTTTGTTGATAAAGAAAAGAATGGTGGTGAGGCTGGCGATGAAAAGAGTCGCTATGATGGGAAGTATGATGGCCAAGTAGAGTGTAGCATAATCATCTCCTGTGAGAGAAAACAAAACATTATCCAGACGGCTCAGGCTGTTGAATGGACAGTCATTTTTTTTAATACGGGTGGTTAAACAAGGTATAAACGTTGCGCTACGTTTAGGTGGAGGCACGTAGAAAGAGATGCTTTCCGTCCACGAGCCGTTTCCTGCCAGCGATGTGGCACGGACACGAGCGGAGTAGTTTCCTGGGCTCAGGTTGGTCAGACGGGCTCCTTTGTACTGGCGGTACTGCTGTCGCGACACACAGCTGTGTTTCTCGGACTACGGGGAAAAGAAATAAACAACGGTCACTGCATGCAACAAAAGTTTTGTCGTTTCCCCCCCTTTCTTAAATACTTGTACTTGGAGAAATGACTGGTTACGTGTGTGACACGTCAGAGTAACTTGAACTACGCTGCTCTTTCCGTTTTTGTACGTATTGTTGGAAATATGAGCTTCACTTTTCCCATTAATGTGCAGTGCTTGAGTCATTTTTCTGCTGTGGTGGTTGTTTTGTACTTCATATTTTTTTATTTTTACTTTTAATAATTTTACCTGTTTTGTTTTACTCTGTGAAATGATACATTTATTACTTTAAATATTTAATATTTTCATTGGTTTTGTTGAATTTACTATAAAGGACGTTGGTCCAACATGCATGGTTTTAATTAAAAATAACGGACATCAACAACAAAATCTGTCGATTACTTTGTTCTGTTATGCTTTCTCTGAATACCTTAGTTCAGATCAATTGAAGTAGATTTCTGTGGAAAGGTGGTGAGCAAATAATATCTTACCTGTTGTAGATAGCTCTCTGAACAATCTCACTTTGGTGAAACGATTTAATTCTTACAAGATTGACAAGTTTATGGCTAGTCCAAGAGGGACCAAGCCCATAAAGTAAATTACTGATGTCCTCCCTAATTTAAAAAAATATATATTTAATTCAGTTTATTTATATAGCTCCAATTCACAACAAACATCATCTCAGTACAAAAACATTCACATCCAGATTAAAATGATCACTCTAAGAAAGCCAGCAGATTGCATTGAATAATACTTTGTGCTACTACTAATATTATAATACTTTGTTGCCATCTCTCTTCCTGAGCAGGGCATATGCGACAGTGGAAAGGAAAAACTCACTTTGAACAGGAAGAAACCTCCAGCAGAACCAGGATCGGGATTTCAAAGCAGTTCAGGTGAATTTTTTCTCGTGCTATGTTTTGCATTACATAAAAAAATTATACAAACGCGATAGCTATTTGCAAGAACAAACAGTAGCAGCAGCAGCTAGCTGTGGCACTTCAGGCAGGAATCTTTTACTTGCCTTAGGATGAAATGTAGCCATTGAGGTCATCCTGGTGCATTCACATTCATGTGTAATATTATATGCTGATTAACGTGCATTGTGCAAATTTATTAAAAGTTACTATTAATATTAATAAATATAATATTATGATCATAATACTTGCTGAAATAACTGTTAATGAAACAGTTTGGTGATGTTTTATAACCGCTGTCATCCACTTTGGTCTTGGCTTTGTTAAGTCTAGCCGTCAATCTGGTCAGACAAACTGTTTCTCTAAACTCGGGTTGTTCAGAGAGTTATCTATACTAGATATTAATTGTTCATAACCTATCACAGAACCATATTTCAAATGATCTAACTATTCTTTTTAAGGCAGCGTTCAAGTAATGTCCTTTATTTTGGAAAATTACAACTAGTTTGCACTTAATCTAAACACTGTGTGTGTATATTCTCTGGATTTGTTGGAAATATAAAATAAAGCAAACTCTAAAGGTAAGACAGGGTTATAATAGTTTATCTATAAATCCACATCAAGTTTGCAATATTTAAAGATGTTTGAGGGGAATTATAATTAAACCAGACCCACCTCAGTCCCCAGACGGTACTTGATCTCATACATCAGTATAAGTCCGTTGGGCATGACGGGCTCGGGCCAGTGCAGAACCACACACCCTTCAATTTTGTCACTCCTCTCAAAAACAACCTTTCCCGGGATGTCATCTGCTTTGGCTGTCACACAGATACAATAATACCCACAACATTATAACATTATACAAATAATAAATAGTAAAAAGAATAATACTCAACAAAAGAGAATATTAGGGATGCACGATATTATCGGCATGTATCGGTATCTGCCGATATTATCAATAAAGTTAAATATCGGACATTTGTCATTCCATCAAAATAACTCGCCAATATAAAAGGCTTCTGTTTTAAGTTCATTTTTAATTTAAGAAACAGTCAAGTATATCTATTAAAGCACTACTACTTATGCATTTTCACTTGTGAACGGTTTGAGTTTGGATTTCAATTAAATTAAATTAAATTCAATTCAAATATACTTCATTAATCCCAGAGGGAAATTATTTGTTGTAGTAACTTGTTATCCTCATTTCATTAAAAGATGTTATAGATGCTGATGGCTGTAGGCAGGAAGGATCTCTTGTAAAGGTCCATCCCACAGTGGATCCTAAGAAACTGGCTGCAGATGCCGTCCGATCCATCCACCCAGACTCAGCTGGCCTCTCGGTTCCCCCGGGCTGTAGGACCGCCCGAATGCCGGACAGAACTCCTCCCAGAGCGATGGCCACTCCTCCCAGCAGTCTGCCGAGCTCCTCGTCGCTGCGGACAGCCAACTTTAGGTGCTGTGGGAGGATCCTGTCCTTCCGCTGTCATGAGCCGTGTTTCCTGCTAGTTCCAGGATCTCAGTGGTCAGGCACTCGAGCACAGCCGGCAGGTAGATGAGAATGCGTCCACAGAACATCCTTTTCAACTCATTTGAGATTTGGGGCTATAGTTGAGATATTATTTGAGCTTTTGAGATGTTAATCAGCTGCTGTTGGTTGTAGAAAACTGCCTTGTTGCCATGGTTACGCATCATAACAAATGTCCAAAACTATAAAAGTTTCAGTAAAAATCCTTCCAGCTGCACAGCATCCGATACCAGAGGAAACAATCATCCAAAAAATGTGATTTACATCTAGATAAAGAGGAATTACAGTTTCCAAAAGCAAAATTTCAGAATGAAAGTAACAGAGCTGCTCCAACATGCAGCCACCTTGAGCGGCGCAATTTGTGTGAACATTTACCAATTTGCACTGTTCAAGTGTTGTCATTGTGTTAGAGAGAGTAAATGCCATGAATAAATTTGACATTAAACATAATCCAAGTTGAAGTGTTACATCATTTTCTGCCCCTTTTTGGCATCTGCATTTGGTAGCAGGTCAAATTGACAAAGACCATGCAGAATAATGTAGTATTTTAATTCCACAGCAGAGAAAGCTATGTCGTCTCTGTAAGTAGGTCTAGGGAAACAATATATCGGTATTGGTATCGGTTATTAGCCAAATAAGTTTGAACATATCAGCATACCGGCTCAAAATCCAATATCGTGCATCCCTAGAGAACATGAAAACAAGCACAATTGAAATCAACTAAAAATATAAGACACAAGATAAAATCATTAAAATGTTACACAGAATGTTAACTCTCGAGCTATAATAAAGAACAAATGTATTTTAAGATGAGACTTAAAAACAACAAGGGTTGGAGTCTTGTTAAATGTGAAAGGGCGACTAGTTGGCACAGTTTAGGAGCAACACTGAGGAGGCCTGATCACGCCTGTAGGCCAGCCTGGACCTCGGGCAAATGATCATTAGATCTAAGGGATCTGAGGGGGACATAAGGCTGCAGGGGTCAGACAGAAATACAGGAGCCTGTCCATTCAGGGCTTTATAGGTCATCATAAAATCAATTTACTTACCTGCAGGTTTAGTTCTGGCAAAGACAAAAGCTCCGATGCTGCAGATGTCGCCCACCTCCTCGTTGCAGGCATGGATGTCGATACGATAGACAGTAAAAGGTTGCAGCCCAGAGATTTCTAAATGTTCTGCCAAAGTTTTGTCCTCTAAGAAGGGGTGCTCAATGGCAGGAGGAATCCCATCTGTGCTGTTGTCTTTTTGAACATACGAGGTATTTCCCTGACCAACCTCCGGAAACAAAGTGTTGTTCGCAACACCAAAAACGTCCCTGCGCCGACGGTCTTGAGGTCTGAAAGACAAATAAAGAGCAAAATATTTTTTAAAAATTAAAAAATCTGCGCTACAAAAAACAAAATGATTTAATTTATTACTGTAGGAGGTAATCATAGGTTAACATCTGACAAAACATGCATAAAGTTGAAATATGGCACTGGAGGAGGCTGAGTGAGCAGATATTTTCTGTGTGCGTGCGTCTGCCATGAGTCCAGATGCTGCACAGCCCTCCCAGTGGTGCCGTGTAAAAGAATGAGGTCAGACGGGTCGTCGCAAAGTGGACAGACAGAGAGATGTGGGGGGAGAGACGCTTCTTTCCACATTACAAAAAATAATAGACAAAACATGCTGCTGTCCAGTGTGTTGCAATCAACAAGTAAAGGATTCTACTGGAAAATGTCCCAATAGAGAAACTTCAAAGTCTGTAATCCCGACAATAAATGTTCAGCTGTCAAACGCAGGTCGTTGGTGCATTTTGGCACTTGGTATCAGAATTCACATGATGAGCTGCAGAGCCTCCTGGAGCTGCACATCGTCATTACTGAGAGCAGACAGGTGGTGACAACTGTGCAAGCAGCACCAGCAGTTGTAAGAGAGACAACACAAGGCAGCTGGCCCACCTGTGAAACTCTCACTGCTGTCAGCAGCGATGGAGAAAAACCTCTGGGTTTGACTGAGCAGAAAGGCAGAGGCTGTATTACCATCGTAACAGGCGGTATTACTTATGAATAATTGAAGGTTTGGTTAGCAAACTCCCCCAAATAACAAAGTTGTGTATTTTAACTTCTCGTGCGCTAAAAACCCAAGTATTATGTGAGGAGTGTAAAAAGATGAGCCTACACATGTCGTGGGAAAGACCAGTCACACATACACGTCAACATTCTTCTCTGACAGCTGTATCTGGTCCAGCACACACGTTACTGCTCCCAGTAAACACACTTACATGTAAGGAAACTTTTTAACTTCAGGAAGGAGTTAAAGTGACAGAAACCATTTAGTCTGACTGACACTGACTGGCACCCTGCTGTAAAATTAGAGAGTCTGACGTAAAAACACACCAAAACAAATAATTTAAAACAGTTTTTAGTTTAAATGTATGCAATAAGCTACACTCTGAATTACCAGGTGTTGACCCTCTTCAGGTTTAAAAAAAATTGTACAAAGCTGATTCTAAAAAAAAAGACAGCCAGTTTAGATGTTTTAAAATACAATTCTACAGAAATATTTAACAATAAATATCTTACCTGCTGCAGATAACATTTTGAAAAGGCCTTCATTCTGAGAAATAACGTTTATTTTAACAGAATTGATGAACTAACATCTAGTTCGCGTGGGGCCAAAATCTAAGTGGATTGCTGCCTTTTGAAACTACTCAAATCTAAAATAAAATATAGCAGTTTTAGTTAACGCTATTTTATAAACTTTTGGCTTGCCATCATTTTCACATTGCACTTTTTCTTGACAGACATGTTAAGATATTTGTACTGAACGTGCCCCAAGCTGCTAGCTGATGTTGCTATTTGTGCTTGGAAATAACCAAGAATATCATGTAAATTTTTGTGTCATGCACAATTGATAGGGAGGAAAGGCTTTTTCATTCAACCTTTATTTATACAGGTTAGTCTTATTGAGTCACACGGACTCATTTTCAAGAGAAACCTGTAATCTTCACATGAACTGCTATAAAACTTTTAGAGATTGTAGATGTTTTAAGATGGCAGTCAACTAGTTTAGTCTTGGCTAGCTGTTAGCTTATCAGTTCAAATATAGTATTTTTGCTACTTTTGGGTGTAACTGGGACCTTGAGTTCACATTTTCGTTCCACCTTACACGTGATGCGAATGACAATATAGTTGAACCTTGAAAAATTATTTATTTATGTGTTTTCTTATTTATGTGTTATTAATTTTCTTACAGAACCCCACTCCAAAAGACCTGATATTTCCATTTAAAGCTGTTATATCATCCATGAAATCTGCTTCAGTTCATCTTTATCTTTTTATCATTTTTGACAGCAGCAGGTTGTAGCAACCGAAAGTTCCCTTTTCTGCAAATGACAGGTTCTGCTTTGCACCACCACGGCCTGAGATCCTGTTTGAAAAGCTCTCCCACTAAATGAGTCTGCTCTCTTTGCTTTCTGTTTATTTTCTGGTGCTGGTGGGGCTTTTCCCGCATTCATTCAAATTCCAGATGGATTCACTGTACATTTCCTGGCAGCTGTCTGGCTCCAGAAAAACATCTTTAACAAAAACAGCGTGCAGGAGGAGGTGTAGAGTGGAGAGATGGATAAGGGCGGGAGCAGCCAAAAAAGAAAATATTTCCTCTTTTTTTATGGACCCCCTTTCCTCTTACCTGGGGTCTAAATCCAGAAACTTTGGTTAAAAGAAAAACAAATTAACACAGATTTCTTCCAGATTTGATACATTTTTCTTTTGAGCCGCCTGAAAGAATGCTGGCGGTTTTACAGAGAAAAGTCTGTACTTAAACAAGCTGCTGACTTTACTACGCTGTAACATTTAACACAAATTGGGGACATATTTAGTATTTGCAATAGCTGGGTTTTATAATTTTCTTTAAATGAAAAGCTGATCCAACTTCATAGGAACATTTCCTTTGAGCAGATGTACAGTATGTTCACTGTAACTATGCTTGAATTAACTATAGATCATTATATAATAATAATAATAATTAATAAAATCCCTCATATGCATTCTTCAGAAGCAAGAGAATATCTATGCTTTTAAAATCAAGATAGCTGCAAACAGCTGAAATGATATCACAGCACAATTGCCTAACTGTTCTGAGGGACTCAATAGTACCATATTTTCCACCATAAACGTTGCATCGCCATAAAAGTCACATCAGTCCAAATATGTCTAATAAAGGGGAAAAACATAAATACGTCGCTTCGCCGTATACGTCACTTCGCCGTGTACGTCGCTTCGCCGTATACGTCGCTTCGCCGTATACGTCGCTTCGCCGTATACGTCGCTTCGCCGTATACGTCGCTTCGCCGTATACGTCGCTTCGCCGTATACATTGCATCTATTATGTATGACCGCTGACTCGTCACATTTGTTACACGTCACTGCTGACAACTCAGAAATGTGGGCCAGTGTTGTGCCAAAAATTGATTGGTTGCCAAATGGCGGCCACGGGAACGTGCACGGGAGGACTTTAACAAGAATTTAACAAGATTAACACTTAAAAACAATCATTTGTTTGATCACCTTTACAGTAAAGGTGTGTCTATCTTCAACTTTTACCTAATAAATGCACTTTAACGGTCAAATCAGCTGCATTTCTAAAGTATTCGCTGTCTCGGTGCTCCGGGAGCACACAGAGGGCGGAAATCAGGAAGAAGGAACACTGCGCATTTCTTCAAAATTTAACAAGATAAGCATCTAAAACAATTATTTGTTTGCTCGACATTATAGCAAAGGTGTGTCTCAGTTGAACTTTTACTCAATAAATGCACTTCAATGGTCAAATTAGCTGCATTTCACCGGGGTAGCGCAGCGAAATGAAGCTGATTTGACATTTGCTCCAGGCATGAACCCCGAGCTGGACGAAGGTGGCAGTCTACGGCAAGTTGATTGTGTTATTAATAGCCACTTTTACCTATTACATGACACAACGGCAGGCCGTACTACTCGAGTGCCATCTAGCAGCTGAAAATGGTAGTGTTCAATATTTTCAACGTCAGAATGAATGAAACCGGTCATATCTCAAGTCAAAATTTGGTTTATAAATACGGGGAAAAAACATAAATAAGTCGCTTCAGTGTAGAAGTCACAGGGCATGTAAATTATGCAAAAAACTGCGACTTACAGGTCAGAAAATACAGTACGAATGACTAGTTTCCAAATAAGCAAGGCAAATAAAACTCCCCTTTTTTCTCCTTTCTAGATTACCACCACAAAAAAACAGAGGACCAGATCAGGTTGTGTAAGTAATTTAAAGAGGAGAGAGAGCGGTGACATGTCCGCACTTGACCGTACCTTGGAAGAAAGATAGCGTTGTGGAGGAAGTTCTCGAAAACTTTTAAAAAATAACGGTCGTGCTTCTCCCTGTCGGTGTCCTCTGCCGTCTTCGGGCAGGTGCAGCAAAGACCGCTCTTCTCCCCGGTCAGGTCTGACTTGGTGGGCTTTGTCTTGTCTTCCACATCTGTGAGTCCTGACGCTGGGATCGGGGTTGGGATTTTAAGCACTGTTTTAAAAAAATGGAACAAATGATGCTCAAAAAAGTGCAATTTTCTACACTTTGTGTTACATTTCAAAGCTAAAGTAAGCGACAAGACTTTATTCCTTCTGAAGTGAAAAGGTGTTTATTTAAATAAAAGGCTCACTGGGGGAGAAGGTTCAGATAGCAAAAATGTTTGGCGTTCGCCTCAGAATGAGTTATGCAGACCTTTAGAGCAGTAGTTATATTGGAAGAGCCTCCTGTCCTCAGGCAGCCGCTGCCAGCGCACCAGGTAGTAACTCAGATTTCCGTTGGGAAGGGTTGGAGGTAACCACTTCACTAGCAGCTTGGTTGAGGAGTTGGCAAATGCATGGGCTTCATTGGGTACAGAAGGCACTGTAACAGACCAAAGCCAAGACATCTGGTAAATCTGTGAGAACTGGAAACAGCACAAACAGAGCAATGGTCTGACTTACACGACGGGCGAGTTCGAATATAAATAATGTCCGTTTTGGCCCCAGAACTGTGTTTTTCGTCCACCTGCAGGGTGATGGCCTTCACAAAAATTGCATATTGAGTCCAGGGCTTGAGATCTTGAAGGGTGAACGCTGGGTCTGTACTTTCAGCCTTGGGAAGGTCTATGTCCGCCATGTTCCAGCTGTTTGAGCCACAGCCATCTTGGCCATCAAACTCTGTGATGTTCTGGAAAGGTCTGGGGAGGACATAAATGACTGCACTCAAAAGCAACACACAAAATTTACAGAAGAAATGACTGAAACAATATGTAGGTTCTGGGGAACATTGTCTGTTTGACAATCATAAAGGTTTGGCCTTAACATTTTTATTTGTCAAATAGTTATCAGCGGCAGCACGGTGGCGCAACTGGTAGAGCTGCTGCCTCTCAGCGAGCAGGTCCCTGGTTCAAACCCCGGTCCAGGGGCCTTTCTGGGTGGAGTTTGCATGTTCTCTCTGTGCATGCGTGGGTTTTCTCCGGGTGCTCCGGTTTCCTCCCACAGACCAAAAACATGCATGTTAGGCTGATTGGTAACTCTAAATTGTCCCTAGGTGTGAGTGACAAAGTGAATGGTTGTTTGTCTTGTTTGTCTCTATGTGGCCCTGTGATGGACTTGCGACCCATCCAGGGTGTACCCCGCCCCTCGCACAGTGATTGCTGGACATGGGCACTGGTGACCCCCGTGACCCAAAATGGAATAAACGGGTAAAGGTAATGGATGGATGGATGGAAATAGTTATCAGCTGTGATATCAGTCACTGAGCACAGAGTATGAAGAAAGAGCTAAAAGTTTGTATCCAGGCTTTTAAAACAGCTCTTTCTCAAAAATGACCCATTGGTGTGAAAGAACAAAACATTAGCTAATAATACACCTCTACACTTTTGCAAGACACTGCTGGTTCAGTTTGATTTTGCAATTTTATCTGTTCACTGAAAACTGAGCAAACTATTGAATTGACTAACTGCACTAATCAGGAGGATCAATAGCACTTGTAGCCTTTGGCATATACAGTCGTACAGCTTATGCTCAGCACACGTACTTTCACAAATAACACAGACATTGGTTGAATAAAGAGCAATAAACAAACTGTGTCGAGCAAAAGTGTAATTAATTTGCACCGTATGTTGTTTTGAGAAAAGCTTTTAACAATTTTAAGAGAAATGCTAAATAAAAAGGGCATTCATTTGGCTATTCGTTAGCCCAGTCTGGACAAAGACTTTTGCCTTTTTTCTACATTTTGTGCTCTTTGACTGACGTGACATCGCTTTCAACAACTCTATTTAAATTCACAGATTGTAGATGTTGACATTTATGTGTGACACCCGTCTTGATGAGCACTGCGACTCTAAAACTTGGACTCTGTCCTTGAAAATGCTGATGTCTCACTCTGGCAACAAAAGGCGTTTCAAATCCCATGGGATTTCTGAATAATAAATATATAAATTTGCTGCTTTTTTATTGGCTCTTTACAGTTTTGGTCATGCTACCTTCAGGTAATCAAACCAACGTAGGAGGCAAAACGCAAACATGATGTGAAAAAAGGCTAATTTGCAAAAAGAAAGTTATTCAAAGCTGGGTTTGATGTGGAATTCACACATAATCAAAATTAGAGTGAAGCATGCATTAAAATGTGAGTTTCAGGACAACTTGAATGGATATGTATATCCATTGTGCCTTTTTTTAAAAGAAGTTTGTCATTTCTAAAAACTTACGACTCTTTGTAGTAGACTATGAAGCTGACGAGACCTCCACTCGCCTGGACCTGGTAGCGCTCCCATGTGAGTGTGATTGTGTCGTTTGTTGTGGCGTTAGACTTGAACTTCAAGATATGACCTTCACCTGTAACGACAGAGCAGAACCATCCTTCTGTGACACGAGTCCAAACTTAAACGACTCATATTATAAATTATAGGAGTCCTTTTTTGTTTGTTTTGCTTTTTGTGATGTAAAGCTTCTTTTAAATGTGGAAAATATGCCAAGATCACAAAGTCAAAAGTTCACATGGAAGGAAGTGGTTCTCCTTTGAAAACAGAAACCTCTGCCCCTGATCTGAATGAAACATGTTGCTTGTAGTTCAGACTTGTAACTTGTCTACATAACCATGTATTACATTTGCATAAAGTCTGCCTCGTGGCTAGTTGGACACGTCTCAAACAGAGAATAAGCTGCTGCCTGACATGCCACCATTTTTATATGAGCCGAGCAAACCGAGCCTTTGAGAAGGGTCTTAAAGGGACAGGAGCCAAAACAGATGCAACATTAACACAGAACTAACAAATCAAAATAAGGGCAAAGCACCCAGTTATGGAAAATAAATAACTGTGGCTGATCGACCTTGTACTTGTAAAATCTCATTGGAGGGACTCTGAAACTGCAAGATAAACTCACATACGACCACCGTTTGCATCAAGAAAAAGTATTAAATACTTAAAGAGACAGAAAAATGTAAAAACAAGAAACTTGCTAGATAAAGGATGATATAATGAAGATAATGTGTTCATCATAATGGTACTTCTTCCAGTTATCCAACTGTTAACAATGGTGTACCACAAGGTTCAGTCTTAGGACCCACCCTCTTCACAGTCTACATAAGTAATGTAGGTCAGATAATTCCTGATGCACCCTAACATTTCTATGCTGACGATACAGTTGTTTAATGTCGAGCTAGAACAGTTGCTAAGGTTTTCCCACTTTTACAGTCTGCATTTGACATCAGCCAATCAGATTTGTTCCATCTCAAACTGGTGCTAAATGCTGACAAAAACAAAGGGATGTTGTTTTCAAAGAGGAAGTCTGTCCCAGCAGTCCTTCCTTCTAGTTTATCTTGGAATGGTGTCCCTATTAAGTTTGTCGATTCTTATAAATACTTGGGTAATTTGGTCGATTTGCATCTCTCTTTAAACTCTTCTATTTACTTTTCATTTTATATGCTCTTTATATGATTGTCTACAGTTTGTACCTCATCTGTGTTTTTTGTTTAAATCAGGTCTCTCTTGTAAATGAATCCTCGTGGCTCAATGAGACTAACCTGTATAAATAAAGGTTGCATGAATAACACTATTTTATGAACAAAAGCTTTGGTTAGTAAAACAACAGAAACGACAATGAATGCAGTATTGAAGAAGTTGGGATACAAAGTTTTAGGTGATGTGGTTTGAGGAAAGAAAGTGTTTTGAAGGAATTAAAGACTGAAACTTTAGCTTTTTAAAAAACTGTTAGTTTTAGTGCTGGGCAGTGAGTTCAGCTTCATATCAGCTCATGTTTATGTTGGTCTCCAGGTCGTCCGGTCATGTGTGCAGCATCCAGTCATACGTTTTCTTGTTCTCCAGGGGTCGTCAACAAAATTAGTTCAAGGGCCAGCATTTTTCCCATCAGACAGCACAAAGACCGGCCTTTTAGCAAGCCACCCATGTCCGTTTATTTATTTGCATTTTTCTGCTAACAGAAATAGATGGAATTCGTTATGTAGTTTTATTTCTCTACTGAGAAGTTTTGGTCATGACTTTACCTGTGTTTAAATTGTCAACATGTACAAGATGCAGAAAATGTTGATAAATGATAAACTCATTAAACAAAACTAGCGGGAGTTTTGTGTTAACCGACACAAGGAGCAGCATGTTGTTAAAAGGCTGAGGTTGTTTTAGTAGCATTTGATGGTAGCTAACATTATTAACAGGGTCTGCTCTAAATGCAGAACAACACGAAAAATTGAGCTGAGATTGTCAAGAAAAAATTTAAGCATTTCTGGGATGGTGTCCTGCTTAAACACACGTATCACATCCTATTGCAACAAACAACCAAACTGATTACTGTCAGATTTTGTTTGTTTTATTAATAATTTGATACTTCGCACGTCCAATGGCTTGAGTCCTCAGGTGATATCTGGGTGGGCCTTCAGTTTTTGATCACCGTTACAATCTGGTCTTAAAGTCTTCAGCTGTCGTCTTGTGAACTTCTGTAAACAAGTTTTGCCACTTTGAATGGACTACAGATACTGCAGAAATGTGTTTTGAACATTATCGTCTGCTTGCTTCGAAGTCGGGTCATGGGGGCAGCAGCTTGAGCAGGGAGGCCCAGACATCTCTTTCCACAGTCACCTCTTCCAGCTCATCTAGGAGGATCCCAAGGCGTTCCCAGGCCAACCGAGAGACATAAACTCTCCAGTATGTCCTGGGTCTCCTCCCAGTCGGACATGCCCGAAGCACCGAGGTGCCCAGGAAGCATCCTTACCAGATGCAAGAACCACCTCAACTGGCTCCTCTCATTGACTTCTCACTCTTATCTCTAAGGGAGAGCCCAGCTACTCTGTGGAGGAAACTCAATTCAACTGCCTGTATCCTCCATCTCATTTGTTCTGTCACTACCCAATTCATGGCCATAGGTGAGGGTAGGAACGTAGACCGACTGGTAAACAGAGAGCTTCACCTTACAGCTCAGCTCCCTCTTTAGCACAATGGACTACATTTAAACATTTTTTTTATAATAAACCCCCCAAATACAAATACAATACAAACTACTTACAGCTGGCTCGTTCTCCATTGTTGAGGAAGTCACCTTCCTGGGGCTTCACTTGGATGCCCGTGTTCTCCCACATCGTGTGAATCACAGACATGCAGAGTTTGGGGTTTTTGCGGAAGAAGAGACGCCCCGCTCGAATAGTCAGGTTGTGCTCACTCCAGTCCCACAACGACTGCAGGTTCTGGTTGTTGACGGCGGAGAATGAATACATGCTAACAACAAAATACAAAATATAGAAGCAGATGGTCAGGAACGTGGTACAACTCTCTTTTTAATGCACAGAAACATGTTTAATAGAAGTGCTAAATATGAAGCTTGTCGCTGCGTCGTCTTGCACTAACAGAGCCCATATGGTTGTGTTTCTGTTTGACAGTGAGCGTTTGCTTAAAGTAAGACATGAAACAGAGACAGTTAACACCTTCAGCACCAGCAGCCCAACCAGAACACCTCCAGGGAGGAGGGACTGCCTGTCATCCTCAACATTCCTCAGAGTGAAACTTAATGCTGGGACAGACTATAACAAGTAGGGCAAAAAAAGGCTTTCCCATGACCACTGGAACAGAAACAACCTTGTCCTCCATCCCTTAGATTGCTACAGATGTAGATGTGAAGACATTAATGGGTCCAAGACATGCCACTAAGCTTTTAAGCAACAATCACTTATCTTACTTGTAAGACTCAGATACTTCAAGGGCTAGCATTCTTTGAAGGATTGCATATCCCCCACTCCCTTTCCCATCAGAGTTTTTTTTAATTCATCATCTTCTGATGGGAAGGGACAGAGTTACAGATGCTTTGGTTAAACCTTAAATGATTAGCACTTGGAGTGTGTGTTGTGAGCGACTCTCAGCTACTGTCACACCAAACGTTTGTTCAGTATCTGTTATGTTACCATTACCACTGAATATTTTGTAGAAGCATCTGTTAATTCATGTACACTTACTCAACAAAGAGCCTACATGTATTATCTTAGCTGCCTATGCATTCCCTGTCACTGCACGAATATATTGACACAGACGAGACATACTTCTCAAAAAGCTCCTCCCCGTTAATGTAACGAAGGCTCTTGAGGAAGGACAGCGAGCTGAGCGCATGAGAGTTTTGAATCTTCACAAAGCCCGTCACCGTCTGGATCAGTCCCATGAATTTCTCCAACTCGGCGGCAATATTTTCTGAGGGGGGGGAAACATAAAATAACATGTTTAACTTGGACAATAACACAAGTTCATTTTGAAAATCTTTGCGGTCCTCTTTTGTTACCATGTTGCCCTGACTAGCTCCTAGTGAAATATGCGTTTATTACATCTGAAGATTAGCTTGTGAGCCCCTCTGTCAACTGAGCACCATTAGGGCATAATGTAATAATTGCGTTAGAGTATGGAAGGTAGTTGTAATGTTAAGTTTGTGGCTCTCACATTGCATCCCAACAACTTGGTCCACAGGGGCTCTCAGCTTTCACCATCTCTCCAATACGAATATTTTAAAGGCAGTCAAGCAGCATACTGAGGCTAAAGGGATAGTTCTAAAGATTTAGAGTGGGATTTTTGTAGAAACATTAGGAACAATTAATATCTTACCTGTCGTAGATAGAGCTTTAAACAACCTCAGTTTGGAGTTAATTCTGATCCGAATCACAAGATAATGCAGAGTGTCAAGATCCAAGATTGCTGCCATCTCAAAACAGCTCTAATCACTTAAAATAGTTAGACTGGTTCATGCTAATGCTATTTAAAACATTGACGCCATCATTACGTCAGCAGAAATACTGTGACATTCCTGTCAGAAGTGTCCCCCACTGAACTGGAAGTGCTACAGCTAGCTGCTGCTATCCATGCTTGTAAGTATTTATATAATTTGATGTAAATAACCCTGTATATTAAAACAAACTATGTAAATTCATTCACACAACAGGATTCTTTGAAATTTTGACGTTGGACTATTTTTAAAGTGGCAGCAATCCACCTGATCTTGACCCCGCTCAGACGAGCAGCTAGCTCGTCAATTCAGTCAGAAATAAACTGTTTCTCTAAACCGAGACCGTTCAAAGAACTGGAGGACGATGCCCATTAGTTCAACATGGGTACAAGCACATCAGATAAATGTGCCAGATTTAAGTTTACAGAATAATTTTAATCTGCAGTTCCTGGCAATTCCATGGTACATGATAAAAAGACCTTAATTAACAAAAGGCACTTGATTGATAAGATTACATACCTATAAATTGTTAACTTACATGATTTTGGATGAATAACTTCCTAATATCTGGACTTTTTCTTTAATACACATTATTGTATGGCTGATTGAACAAACGTAACATTTTCTTCACCAGTTTAAATGTCAAGAAACGCTGGTATCTGTAATCTGATTAGTTGCTGGAATAGTGTATCCCTCCAAACATTTCAGGAATTTATTGTCAAAGACTGCCTTTATGCAAAACAGCCAACGATTTGTGGCGTAATGAGGAAGTTCTGTTTACACTCACTTCCACTGCGAAGGTTGATGATCAGATTTCCTGCAATGATGGTGCAGTCCTTCAGGGACTGAGCGGTGTCCACAGATGCAACGACGGGGGACATGCACAACTTGTCGCACAGTCCGTTACAAGCGGCGCACAGCATGCTGCACATGGTTGAAGCGGGAAGAAAAAAAACAACAACGTATTATTAAGATTTTTTTGTGTGTGTGTGATTTCCTACCTCTGCCTTGAAACAGCTGAAACAGCTCCTGAGCAATGTGAGGGTTTGAGGCCATGATAAAATGTCACCTTTCACACGAACAGTTTAATCTTTCATGAAGCTTCAGCTGTACGGTTTCGTGGCAGTGACTCACTGTGTTGACTACTGATACAAAGCATGGCCAGAAACACACTCTGCAGCAGTCTGAATCCAAGCTTTGGGTTTTGAGAATGGAAACAATTAAAAAAAAAGAAACAGAACAGAAAAGCTTTCCTAGCCTAACTCTGCATCAAACATAACGTGTTCGGAGGAGACGCTTGAGCCGAGTCTCTTACTCAAGTGTCTGGGTAATCATCTGTAAGGGTGGAAAACATTTCAGCGAACAGACTGGGAAATCTAAACATGAATCATTGATAGTCCAGCACGCTCTTAACCTCCTGCACTTCCTGTGTCGAGGCCTACTTTAAGAAAAAGAACGTGTGAAGAGTGCAGTCAAGTAAAGTTCATCTCAAGGATACCCTATGCAGGAGAATTCATTATGCATAAGTGCACAGTGGTTACAAGCTGTTTGAACGTATCTGAACACTGAAGTGTAAACACACAGCTGTTCACGGAAACTTCACCAGGTAATAAACCTACGACGAGCCGTTCTGCCTGGTTAAAGTACCAGATAATTGTCCAAAACAAATTCAAATATGGATTGTTTGAGGGATGTATGCCCATGGGGGATTCTGACATAAATAATTAATTTCAGTAAAGATCACACATTAATTATGTCACTTCACATCGCACTTTCAAATAAACTAAGTGTGGAGTCCTTACCGATTAGTGTTGTTGCGTGTGAAACCGGAGGGACAGTCAGGCATGCATTCTCCGTCATGGATGACGAAGTGGAGATCGCTGGGCAGGTGCACCTGTGCACACAGGTCCATGGTGATGCAGCGCCAGCCCTCAAACCTGAAGGTTCCCGGGGGACAGTCGGGCACGCAGCGACCCTCGTGGTTGTAGTGGAGGCAGGCTGAGCAGGCCATGTCGTTGTTGGGTTCGGTGCAGCTCCCCAGGCACTGGCTGTGGCAGCAGTCCCCCTTGTTCGTACAAGCCAACTTGCATTGCTCCGGACAGACTGAGGTAAAGACACACGGGGAAGAGGTCAATATAAAACAGTCTTTCTTTTTAAAGCTAAATGTTTCTAAGACAAAGGAGATGGTCATTGATTTTAGAAAGACTCTTCAGTTGCCACTAAATAAAGATCTGGAAACTGTTCTTCACAAACTGACCTTTGACCCCCATGTGGACTCATTTTGTAAAAAGGCTCACCAGAGAAACAGATAAACTCTGTGGTGTAAATGTTGATTCTACTTTTATGAGAATGTTTTATTCATGTTTTATTGAATCTGTTTTAACTTTCACCTTCATCTGTTGGTTTGGTAACATGCAAAAACAGGAACAAACTCTTGGGGATTGTCAGGATGTGCAGCAAAACTGCTGGTATCGTTCTACAGAGCCTCACTGGCCTACACAAGGTGAGGTCTTTGAACAAGGCCAGGCTGATTCTGGCAGATCCTGATCATCCACTCCATGGTGAGTTCAGGTTGCTTCCATCTGGACGCAGGTATCTGCTGCCCAGATGTTGGACGAACAGACTGAAAAACTCATTCATCCATGTAGAGATCAGGCTTCTCAACAAACAGTGATGATTTCAGTTATCTTAATGTCTCAATGTCTTGTCTAGTATGGATGTTTTGTGTGTCTACTGACTGTGAAACAAATTGCCCCTCGGGATAATAAAGATTCTTGAACTTGAACTCTTCTACGGTTGACAAGAAGACAAAAGTTAAAGTCTAACAAACAAGTAGTGGCAAAATCTCAGAACAGGCTTCACACAAAAGTTTTTTTTCATGAATTTCTACACAATGTTTGGACTAAATTTACATTTACTTATTTTATGTTCACTGTAAATAAAAGGTTTAACTCCTTTGAGGTGTCATTCTTTGTAACGGTTTTGAACATTTATTGCCTTAATTGTTGTAGATCGCTCTTTGAATGAACTCAGTTTGAAAAAAAAAAAGCGTTTGATTAACAGTGAATTAATGAGCTAATGGCTAGTCAGAGCAGATCCAACACCGAAGTGCATTGCTTTCATTTTAAAACAATTTCAGACTGAAACATTTCAGAGTGATTCATCCAAGGCCAACATTGTAACCTTTTACACAGCTACCAACAAAATATTGGTTAAAAATATAAAAAAAGGTTAGATAATATAATATAGGCTGCTATTTGGACTTGTAAATAACGACAGAATTATTTGTAATAGTGTTATTTGAAACTGATAGCAGGGAACAACGGTCTTGGCCTCGTTCAGACTAGCCATTAGCTCGTCAATCCAATCAGATTTAAACTCTGTTTCTCTAAACGGTGGTTGTTTCAAGAGCTGTTTACAACAGGTAAGATATTCTTTGCTCATAACTTTTCCACAAAAGCATGCTTTTAAAAAAAAGTTTCAGGATTAAAAAAATAAATGAAACAAAAGAGACGCAGGACCAAAAAGCAGTTGCAGCAGCCAGCAGTCATTCAAATACCATGAAAAGGCAAACCAGAAGAAAAAACAGTTTGCCTAAATCCACATGAACCTTACGTTCAGTCAAAAATGAAAATGTTTGCTCCATTTATTTGTCCAATTACACTCAGATAGAAGACAACAACATCTATATCAGATTGTTCTGTGTTAAACAAATGTAGAAACTACAACAAACACACAAACACCTGAGCAGATCGACAGATTGATTCACAAACTTCAGCAACAAGAAAATCAGAAGTATCTTTACAAACAGCCTTGCTGATCTTATTTCTCAGGGGAACAGACACATGTTTGGTATTTTAACGCACTAACGAACAAAGGCAATGCAGATTTATAAGTTGAACATGGGTGCACTTTTGCCTTCTTGTTGAAGGTTCTTTTATTCAATTTACTGTACTTTTATTTCAAGGAGTGGCACCTGTAATTAAAGACGAGCACAAAAGGTCACGGCTGCTTTCTGCTTTCTTTCTTGCCTGAAAACAAAGAGAACCGGAGTAAAAAAGCTTGTGCATTCTCACTATATGTTACTGTGCTCTCTCAAATAGCTTTATGTCTCTGTAATCCAATCAGTTACACATTTTTAAAGGGTAAAGTATTCAGAATAATTTAACAAAGCTGTTACTTCAGCACTGTCACTTACTAAGGGCTTGAAACGTAAGGATGTTTCACTGCACTGCACGGAGAGAGCATTTCTAATGTTTAGCTCGTCCCTTTTACAACCACGAGGAAGGAAACATTATTAAAACCACACTTCACTGGAACCGTTTCACTGTCACATCTGTAAAATTGCTTGGACAGGCATATTTTTTACATGAGCTCTGTGATAAGGGAGAGAATAAAAGATCTCTTTACAGATTTTCAAAGGCTTCTGCTTTTAAAGCCTAAAAACTGGAAAGAGACAAAGCTGAAGATTTATATTAAAAAAGAAAGAGAGTGACGGCAAGGTTAAAGGCAAAGACAGATAGTTTTTTTTAAAGTAAAACTACAAAGCTTGCTTCACATTTAACATCATCAAGCCCAATTACATCAAGCCTGAGTGCATGTATGCCTATTTTATGTTCCAAACCACACTCTCCAATTAAAACTCAACCTAAAATTCTTCTAAATCAAAGTTTAGGAAATTCTCATTTTTATTAATATACTGCTATAATGACAAATTCTTCCAATTTCCCTACGAAGTCACAAAGAACGCAACTGCGTTGTTCCAGATTGTGGGAAAATTACAGAAAGCACGTTGAGTGTTTTCAACTGAACTTGCGCAACACCAGAACTATTTGACGCTCCGCCACAGTTTACTGGACCTCACTGAGAAACATAAACACAAACCAATATGTTATTAATAACGCAGCATTCTTCCATCGCTCAGGGCAGGTGATACATCTGACACACTGCAAGCTGTCAGATTTATCCTGCAAACAGCATCATTAACGACAACCTCCATGGGTAGAAAAGGACTCTTTCAAAATCCAAGATGTGACACAGAAAAAGAAAAGCGAGAAATACTTTTTTTGTCTCACAACCCAACGAGATGAGATTTTGTTACGAGCCTGTTAAATACATTTGTCTTAGCATTGAAAATGGGAGTAGTTTGTAGTGTACATAGTTTGACTAATGCTCACATTTACAGAAAAGCATTAAAAAAAGTTGAGAAAACGTAAGTCTGTCCATGTTGTGTCACTGCAGAGCTTCCTAGTTTCAGATAAGTCCAAAAGCATCTGGACTGAGCATGTGTGGCACCAAAATACACTACTGACAAAGAACTATTCAGATTTTGTAGTCATAAGTGTTTACTACTTCCTGTTATGTTCTGCATTGTTGCTGCTCTAAGACCAACTCGTCCACGTGGACAATAATAAAAATGAACTACATTAAAGAAACACTCTTGGTTCTTATAGCTGCCTCCGCGCTCAGGCTGATGCTGAGAGGAGATGAGTTTTCCTATTGTTGGATTTTACAAGATAAAATACATAAATGCACATTTTGTGGCATTTTGATTTTTATGTTTATGCATGTTAAGCTGACTTGTGACTCTAAATTGTCCCTTGGTGTGAGTGAGAGAGTGAATAGTTGTCTCTTTTGCCCCTTTTCCACTGCTCCATCTCAGCTCTGCTCAGTTAGCTATGGTTTGAGTGCTGTTCCACCAGTACTTCGCTGACCTGTTGAAGCACGTGAGGCCATTTAAAAAAGAAACATTTTATATATTAAAAATAATGTTGTTGTTTTTTATCAGTGAAGAATAAAAATAAATAAACAGTGCCGGCTTTATCGTGAAATCCTGTTTTCACTTTGACTTTATTAAATAATCTGTTAATTAAAGTTAACTCAGCTGAAGAATCATAAAATGACAAAACTATTGGATCTCTCAGGAATATTTCCCTCAAGCATGTTTAAAGAAGAGACACAGCCTTTGGTTCAACTTTATTCTAACCCACAGATGTATAAATCACAAAACAAGAATTACACTTTAAATCAAAGCTCAAATAAAATTTGTATACAAGAAACAAAACCACATATCTAAATGGGACAATAAAAGTAGACATGATGAGTGCAAATACATCAGATGATGAAGAAAAATATAGAATTTTAAATATAGATGTTTTTGTAGAATCTGGTTCGTCAGATTTAATTTCAGTTCAGTTTATTTATATAACGCCAAGTCACACCAGAAGTCGTTTCAGGGCACTGAACAGAAACATTCAAATATAAATAATAAATAATGTATAAATAAACTGAACTGAATTAAATCTGATGAACCAGATTCTACAAAAACATTAATATTAAAATCTAAAAATATTAAATCTGGTCCTCTGGATGTTCAAAAAACAAAAACAAAAAAAAATGTAGAAACGTTTTGTCTTTCATCCGAAAGACTTCTTCAGTCTGAGGTGCTGTATTCAGCTATTTATATAAGACTGAGCTGAATACAGCACCTCAGACTGAAGAAGTCTTTCGGATGAAAGAAGAAACGTATCTACATTTTTGTTTTTGTTTGTTTGTTTTGTGAACATCCAGAGGACCAGACTTAACATTTTTAGATTTTTCTACCCGGATTATTGAGCATGCATCAGGATATCTATATTTAAAATTCTATATTTTTCTTCATCATTTGATGTATTTGCGCTCATTGTGGTTTTGTTTCTTGTATACAGATTATTTTTTCTTGTATACAGATTATTTTTCTTGTATACAGGTTATTTTTCTTGTATACAGATTATTTTTAGCTTTGAATTAAAGTTTAGCTTTGATTTAAAGCTTTAATTTAAAGTGTAATTCTTGTTTTGTGATTTGTACATCTGTGGGTTAGAATAATGTTGAACCAAAGGCTGTGTCTCTTCTTTAAACATGTTTGAGGGAAATATTCCTGAGATCCAATAATTTTGTCTTTTTATGATTTTTCAGTTGAATTAACTTTAATTTACAGATTATTTAATAAAGTCAAAGTGAAAACAGGATTTCACAATAAAGCCGGCACTGTTTATTTATTTTTAATCTTCACTGACAAAAAAAACAAACTTATATTTTATACATAAAATGTTAACAAAAAA